CAAAGATCCACTAGGTCGACCTTGGAACGTCAACGTGCAACATGTATTCCGTGAAGTGAATTTTGTAGCCGATCATTTGGCTTCCTTTGCCGTGGATGGATCGTTGGGTTACCATTTCTTACCTGTTTCGCCAGATGGGGTTTGTCAGTAGCTTCACCATGATCTGATTGGCGTGTCTTATTTGCGGTGTGCAACTTAAGTTGATAGGCGGGGACTCTTTCTTTGTACAAAAAACGAACAGAGCCTGTAAAAATAATTCATTTAAGAGAAATGTTATAGGTACATAGTATTGTACATAGAGGTTTACATAACACTCATGGGTCCTACTAAAAATAAAAAATCAAGTGAACCCTACACCTATGTACATTTATTATATACTTGTAGTATTTTTCTTCATTTAATATCTCTTTCCCGTACGGGTCGCACTAATATTGTTTTGACAAGACAAATACATTTCCAATAATATATCCACGTGGATGTCCACTTCAAATACTTAATCGCACTCGGCAGTGAAAAAAAAAAAACCCTAAACCCTAACTTAAAAGTTAAAAGCACTCCGCCCACCCGCCCGCCGAGCACCGCTCTCTTACACACAGAGGCTGGAAACAGAGAGCGAGACGAGGAAGTGAAGTTGTTCGTACGATGACTCTATACGTGTTGTACGAGTCGGCCTCCGGATATGGTTTGTTTTCTGCACACGGGCTTGATCAAGTCGGCCAGAATTCAGAAGCCGTTCGGAACTCCGTTTCGGACCTGAATCGGTTCGGGAAGGTGGTGAAGCTGGCGGCTTTTAGTCCCTATGAGTCTGCTCTGGATGCTCTCAACCAGTGCAACGCTGTCTCCGAAGGTAAAAACAAACAGGGCCTTTATTGTTTTCAGTTACTATTAAAATTTCATGCGCTGGGGTCTCGAGTTTGCCTCCCATTTTCTTTTTTTTTTTGGGTTTTGTTCTTGAACAGGCTTTGTTGATGCTTAACTTTTATTGTGGATGTTGTAATTGAGCAAACGTCCAACTCTGTATGTACATGGAGATAATGAAGTAGATCTTCACTTGCTTTTAAGTTGGGAAAAATGTGCTCTTTTTACTTTGTGATCCGATATAATGTGTTGGGCTCGTGTTACTGTCAGTTTTAACTTGCCGAGAAAAATGGATGATGTGTGATTTTACTGCACCAACCTAATGAAACCTTTAGTTTATATGGAAATGAGAATATCTGAAGCTAAAGAATGTTTGAGAGGCAAGAGGTTAGAAAGTATGTGTATGTGGGAGTGTTCGTTTTATTTATCATGTGAAGGAGGCAAGGGTCTAACTTCTGTGTCTAGTAAGAATTTGAAATGATGAAATATTGTTAATTTTGAACTAAACAATTCCACCAGAAAGAGTGTAGTTATGTACAATGTGAATGAATATTTATAATTTGTTTGGGTGTGGTCAATTTTTGTCATCTTTCTGAAGGAAAGTAGATTTGTCTTTCTTGAATGGGTAAACAAGAAACATAGAATCATGTAAATATGCTATTCCATTATCATAATTTTAATCGTCTGTTTACTTTGTGCTTTTGGTGGGGGTGTTGAGCTAAAGGGGAACGAGATATAGTATAAAATGTAAAACATTCAATGACTAAATTTTTTAGAGTATCGTATTAATTAATTGAAGATGACCATCTTGGACATTATTTGCAATTCAATAATTGTTTCTGGAGAATTAACGTCATGGACTAATGTGACATGAACTTAAGGTCAAATGACTGACGAGCTGAAGAACTTCTTGGAGCTCAATTTGCCGAAGGGTAAAGAAGGTAAGAAGGCAAAGTTCAGTTTGGGAGTGGCAGAGCCGAAGCTTGGGTCACATATTTATGAAGTTACTAAGATACCCTGCCAAAGCAATGAATTTGTTCTCGAGCTACTTCGAGGCATTCGATTGCATTTCAGTCGTTTCATCGAAAACTTAAAGGTTGGTAATATGACCCCATTTTTTTTATTTCAGATGAAGGGAGGCTGATATTTTAATTCCTGGCTTTTCAATGTTTTATTTGGTTCTTGGGATGTATCGTCCTGTATTTATTGTGTGTGTGTGGCTACTAATTTTTCCCATTTAAATTTGATTAGCCTGGAGATTTGGAGAAAGCACAACTTGGTCTGGGTCACAGTTACAGCAGGGCGAAGGTGAAATTTAATGTGAACCGTGTGGATAACATGGTTATTCAGGCTATCTTTCTTCTGGACACCCTTGATAAGGATATAAATTCGTTTTCCATGAGAGTAAGGTTAGCATATTTCTTCATGTAACCCGTTTGTGAGATGCTTTTACTGTTGGTTCTCAAATCCTTTTACTTGATTATTTTAATGGTTCGTGATTTTATGTATTATTCAATTGTCCTTTATAATACATTTACATATTTACCTATGCCTATTTCTCTTAGGGAATGGTACTCTTGGCACTTTCCTGAGTTGGTGAAGATTGTCAACGACAACTATCTTTATGCCAAAGTTGCAAAGTATGTGGAAGACAAGTCACAATTGTCTGAAGACCATTTATCTGGGCTGACGGACATAGTTGGAGATGAAGATAAAGCAAAGGAGATCATAGAGGCTGCCAAAGCATCCATGGGTATGTATTAGTCCGAGGTCATATGCTGCATGGATTTAATCCCCTTATATTAACATGCAAGTTTCTCCATGTTTTTGCAGGACAGGATTTGTCACCTGTAGACCTTATTAATGTCAAGCAATTTGCTCAGAGGGTGATGGACCTTGCTGAGTACAGGAAAAAGCTCTATGATTACCTGGTTGCCAAGATGAATGACATTGCCCCTAATTTGGCTGCATTGATTGGTGAAGTTGTTGGTGCTCGTCTGATTTCTCATGCTGGCAGTCTTACAAACCTGGCAAAGTGCCCATCATCAACTCTTCAGATTCTTGGTGCTGAGAAGGCTCTCTTTAGGTATTTCTTTTAGATAGCAACGCATCTGTTTGTAATTATATTTTATGATTTTCTGCTTCTTTATTGGTACTCCTTTGACTGCTTTTGATGTTTTTTTGATTGCCAGCGTAGTAAAGGTTCTTTTTTAACCGTATTCTTCTGGTGCTTGTGGTTTTATTTAGGGCATTGAAAACCCGAGGGAACACTCCAAAGTACGGTCTTATATTCCACTCTTCTTTCATTGGACGCGCGTCTGCTCGGAATAAAGGCCGGATGGCTCGTTATCTTGCCAACAAGTGTTCGATTGCTTCTCGTATTGATTGTTTTCTGGGTAAGTATATTATTCGCCTTTATGAACATTTGTTTATCTCATCTTGTGGATTATATAACATTTTTTGATGGAAAGTTACGCTAATCTTTTGTATTTCAGACAAAAATACAACTACTTTTGGGGAGAAGCTCCGTGAACAAGTTGAAGAGCGACTGGACTTTTACGATAAAGGGGTTGCCCCTCGTAAAAATCTCGATGTGATGAAGTCTGCTATTGAAACAGTTGATAGCAAAGGTTTGCCATTTTCCGTACCTAAAATTCACTCAATTGCTGGGCATGTTTTTTTATATGTTTTATTTTTTATTTTTTTAAATTCACATGGACTTGATTTTTCGCACAATGCCAAATTGAAAGGAAAAAAAGTAATATCTCGTGACGACATTTAGCATATTTTATAGTGGATTTCAAACCGATGTGTTGTTCTGCTCGAATTTTGGCACAGATAATGAGGCTACTGCTGACGTGAATGGAAATGCAAAAGATGAAGCAAAGTCTGAAAAGAAAAAGAAAAGGAAGGAAAAGAGAAAATTAGAGGAAGAAGTCAAGGAAAAGAGTGACGCCACTGACGTAAATGGATCCAATGCTGGAGAAGAAGACGGTACAACAAAAAAGAAGAAAAAGAAGAAGAGCAAGGATGAAATCATGGAAGATGTTCCAGATGCTACAGATGGAAAGAAGAAAAAGAAGAAAAAGAAGTCCCGCAGTGAAGATGACGACTAATTTTCAGTAGGTAAGGTAAGGAGCTCTTGAAAAGAAGATTGTAATCAGCTTCTGGAAAGATCTATCAAGCATTTTGGTATGGTGATTATTGTATTTGTGTTGTTATCCCGACTTTTATCTGAAAATGATGAACCGTCTGAACATGAGCGTGTATGCTTTGGATGTTTTTTTTGGTAGAAGTATTTGTTTCTTGTTTAATATAGTGTTCGACTCTCATGGAGTTTTAATTTCCTATTCAACGAGTATGTCTTGTTAATTTTTCATTTTGTGTGCTCAACATGCTTTTTAAAATGAATTAAAATGCATTGCATTCTTTTGTTGCAGCAGTTAGAATTGCATTGGATTGAGAATAAAAACATGGGAGCTAAAAAAGTTCGTCCCTAATATTTTTGGTTTCAAGAACATATCAGCGAGTTATAATGAACGTGGCTCAAAATTGCAAGATATCAACTGTGTTCTCCGAAATGAGTTCCAACTAACAATGTAAATTGCTTTAGAAATCAGAATGTTGGTATCCCTTCAGTGTATTTAATTTAATAGACGTTGCTTGTATGACTTATCTTTCTTGTATTATAATAGTGTTCCTAAATACCATATAATAACTTTATAGAAAAGTTATTGAACTCATGAATAATTTTAATTTTCTATTAATATTAATAGATAATTTAGTTATTTTTAAAAAGACGTCAAATCCAAATTCTCATAATGATATAATCTGATTTATCGTGTGTAAAAATATGATTATATAAAATTTAATTAATTTTTATAGTAGATTTATAATTTAAGTTAGTTAAGTATTTTACGATTTAAAAATCTTAATACATATAATTATTTCCACATATATGTAACCATTAGGAATTTGGCATATAAGATTCCAAAACACCAAAAATACTATATAGAATTAGAAGTCAACGCAAACACAAACTATGTAATTGTATCAGTATACAGGGAGGATAACAGGTGACATCCGGAAACTTAGTATAAATTAAAATAGAAGACCAAGAAAAGGAAATTATATAGAACGCGCTATTTTCCCTAAAGCATAAAGGGGTAGGAAAAGGAAGATTCAGAATAAAACAGAAGGCAAAACTGTCTTTTTAAACAAAGAGAAGTAAGTTCTGACTTGTGACGAACGAAACACAGCCTTTACAGTTTTCCTCTTTTAAAATCAGAGAGAAAGCGCGAGGACGTCAGCTGCAGCCAATCTGGAGGACGTGCCGTCGATGGAAGTCACGAGTCGTATGAATTGCGAGTCGAAGCCCGCCAGGCACCTCATTCTCGTCGGTAAGTTCTTAGTTTTTTTTTCCCTATTCAACTTCTACGGCACCGGGCTTTTGTTCACTTTTCTCTCTGATTATTGCGCTTTTTCTTTCTTTTTATATTTTTAAATAGGTAGTTTGATGTCAGATTTTTATGGGTTTGATTGAGACGAACGGTGTTCTACCCATTCGTTTCTGAATAATGCAATTGGTGTTTATTTTCGGCCACAGTTTCTCTTATGACTGCAGTGGTGCATATGAAAACGTTCATGTTCTTGATATATGTTGATTCAGAATATTGTTAAGCAAAGTTTGCCCAACACTGGTTTCTTATTAAAAATTGTTTTAAAAAACGTTCATGCTCTTGATATATGTTGATTCAGAATATTGTTAAGCAACTTTTGCCCAACACTCGTTGCTTATCTCAAAATTGTGTTCAAATTAAGATGGAAGCCAACGGACGCATTTGTTAAACAATGGGCTTAACTTGCTATGTATTACCCCAAGTAGCTATGAGTTTTGCTTAGAATTATCGGGATTCACAATAAAATAAATTTACATTCATCGAGGAATCATGTTCTGCCGTTAAATTCCATAATGCCTTAGCTCTTGAGAAGGCATTACGAAAACAAGTCATTTGTTTCGTTCCTGTATTTGTATCACATTGATCTAGTGATGCTAATGGGGCTTTTGCTATAAATCTTCAGGTCCACCAGGGTCAGGGAAAGGGACCCAATCCTCCATAATAAAGGATGAATATTGCTTATGCCATTTGGCATCGGGCGATATTCTGAGAGCAGCTGTTGCTACCCTCGGTGTTGAGTTTGAAGAGGCCATGAATAAGGTCCATTCATTACTATGCTATACTACACTTCCAAATGGAATAAATTATTTATCATAAAATTTTATTTTATTTTTCCATTTCTTTATTTGTTTTATATTCGTCAGGGAAAACTTGTTTCGGATGATTTTGTTGTTGGTATAATGGATGATGCCTTGAAGAAGCCTTCCTGTCAGAGAGGTTTTATTCTTGATGGATTTCCTAGATCAGTTGTCCAGGCACAAAGGGTCGATATGTTTTATTTCGTATTTTTCGGTCAAACTTGTACATTTTGGATTTGTAAATTACAGTTACGAGCTGAACCATTCATTTGTTTCTTATATCAGCTTGATGAGATGCTTGATAAGCGTGGAGTTAAGATTGACAAGGTTTTGAACTTGGTAATTGATGATGCTATATTGGAAGAGAGAATTACTGGCCGTTGGATCCACCCTTCCAGTGGCCGCACTTACCACACGAAATTCGCGCCTCCGAAAGTTGCTTGTGTTGATGATGTAATGAGGATTCTTTAATATTGGCTATAATTGTAAATGAGGATTTTATTTAATTTCACCCCTTGCTATCTGTGGACCTCTCTCTGTGTCTACCCTTATCTAACATGTTACCATTTCTGCTGTTTGAATCTATATATGCTAATGCAATTGTCTTAAAGGGCTGGAGCTGATTTTTAGTTTCTTTGTTGTGAAGGAAACTGGAGAGCCTTTAATTCAACGTTACGATGATACAGCTGCGGCTCTCAAGTCAAGGTTGGAAGATTTTCACCAGAAGACTGAACCAGTATGGTTTTCCTCTTTTCTCAGTCAATTAATGTTATGATTTCAATCAAAATGCACTCTGTGGATTGTCTGTTGGGAAAACTTTAATTTGATAGAAGATATAATACTTTAACTAGGAAGGGCTAAAATTAAATCTTATATATATATGTATATATATGCAAATAGTTTCTTAGGAATGGTAATATGTTTATTTCTATCTTGTGCCTTTCTTCGGTTATATATGCAATAATGCATATTGACAAAATATTTTGTGTTCAAAGACAAACGAAAAAGGAGAAGAAAAAGAAACTGAAAAAATAGTTTTTTCTTCAGCATGCCTAAAATTAATCTCTGATTCCTAACAAGGTCCTGCTTGACATACTAATATAATGCATGCCCTCGATTCATGGTCAACTTGTTATGTACTTTTGATTTTGTATATGCCCTGCTATCGACTAAGATTTTTAAGAATGTGTACAGGTTATTGACTACTATAGGAAAAAAGGCATTGTTGCAAACCTTCCTGCCGAGAAACCACCTCAAGTGGTCAGTGCAGAAATTAAGAAGATTCTCGGCTGAAAAAAAAAAAAATAGGAGACAGGAACTCTCGGGGACCTCTGATAAATAATTGCATTGATTCGAGCTTTTTAATTTGTCTTACTGTAGTAGTTTGATACCAATATACTATCATGTTAGAGCTGATGAAAGTATGTGGGACTTGTTATCCTTGGCCGAGGGCCTTAACGCGAATTGTGGTAGTTTCTTAGATTGTGCGAAGACAATAATTTTTTTTTTTTTTTTCATTCTTTTATANTTTTCATTCTTTTTGGGTCCTGAAAATATTTCGTTGTAGTCAGTGATTAGTCTCGTTACTGCGTTAGCGTGGATTTATGCTTTTCACAGGTCACCCTTGCTCTTTATAAAAGTGTCTAAGGAGTGTTCGTATGTATTGTATGACACTTCAAATAGAAAATAATCTTACTGTGGGATTAGCTACAGATTATTTTGGAAAAATATAGTTTGACTCAAAAAAGTGAGTTAGAGGCTAAAAACATATTTTAGCTGAAGAATAAATTAAAAACTTTGAGAATATGAGATGAAATATAATGATTAATATTGATTTAAAAAAAATAGTAAAATGTTAAGAAAAGAAAATGTATAGTAGTTTAAAATATCAGTGTAAGAATAGTAAATTTTATTGACAAATTGTAGAAGTGATTGATATTTATTATTTAATTATATTATTACTATAGAAGAAAAAAAAGTTGGAATTGTCCAAAATAAATTATCTGAAAAAAATAAATGTCCAATCACTCCCCGTCTGCAGGGTGAATTGGGTTTATCACTAAAGAATATGAGAAGCGTGCTCTTTTTAGGGACATAAGCAACTTTTTATCGGAACTTGGAAGGAACAACAATGGACTCTGAGTAACACCTTCACCTTCTAATTTAGTGCTCCTCAATCAAATACGGGAAAAATAGATTAACAAATGCTATTTGCGTTCGAGCCCGACTAGAACATAATCAAAAACTCCATGTAATGATTAAAAACAAAAAAAAAGTTTCAAGTGCACCAAACAAGTGGTAAACCTTAAATGTCGACAGTGAGTTTGGCATCCAAATGTGAGAAATCTTGGAAGAAGGCCTTGAAATGCTGGTAAGAATGCTTCACATCATCAACTGCACACATTTCTCTTATACTATGCATCGACAGTTGTGGGGCCCCAACATCAACTGTGCGAATGCCCACACCACTCGCCAATATGGGCCCGATTGTCGAACCACAAGCCATGTCATTACGAACCACAAAATCCTGGAGAAATCATATTAAATTAATTCGTCTCAACCTTAAAAAGCTATTTTTTTTGTAATTAACCCATTTACTAATCTACTGACCTGTACAGGAAGATTGTGATTGGCTGCAATCTCCCTGAACAAGAAAGAAGTTACTGCATTGGTTGCATATCTTTGGTTTGCATTGTGTTTGATGACGAGTCCACCGTGCATTTTGGGCTGATGGTTCTCTTCATGTTTGTCCTGATTAAACGGAGGGAATTGTTATTAGGTACATATAACAATCTTTGCAGGAATTATGAGTTACGGAGAAGATAAAATTATTGAATACCATGTAATTTGGATGCAAGGCATGAGCCATGTCAGCTGATACTAGATAACTCCTCTGAATTGCTTTCGGTAGGAGCTTTATAAGAAAAAATCACATTAAATTAAAAAAAAAAAAAGTCAATAGAAAAGATATACAAAGGCATTCAAAGTATCAAAATTAAAGATAAACTTGGATGTTCTGGTCAGTATGATTATTTTGTTTCAGTTGTAGGAGCATAGAGAGAGCTACTTTAACAACTAACAGATTTTATAGGACAAACTTATAACAAGGCAAAACATTTTCATGTTCCCATGAAAGAGGAAAAGATGAGAGCTTGAAACCAAACCCAACCCTTAAATTTCACATCACCAAACATGACAAATTACCATAAAGTGAAGTCACACGAAAGCCAGCTGAAAAAAATAACAATAAATCAATACACAGAAAAGACCTGCCTGTACCTTTGTATCCGAACTGAATGAAGAAGTAATACGTGATAAGGCATCCAACATAACAGGGGACCCAGCTCCTTGTGCGGAGTCAGATCCAACCTCCTCGTGATCAAACAAAGCCACCATTCTTATCCCACTCTCGTCCTCCAGACTTTTTTCAGCAGTAGTTGAATCTATCAGTGCCTGCAATTGAAATATAACAATTAACTCTAAATAAATCTATGTCTATTCTGGTGGGAAAGTGACTAATTATGTGACATAATCGACCAAGAATTAGTAGATTGTTTCATCTGATAGTGTATGATGGAAAATTCAGTATGTTCAGTATGACTACTCAAACATTAAAATACGCACCTTCAAAGAGCAAAACGACATACAGAGGTTATCTAATCTTCCAGACAAAACAAACTCCTTCAAGGCCCCAGCAATGACACTTTTCTGGGTATCACACGCTTGCAACTCAAAATCACATATTGCATCCGGTTCGCACCCAAGCTGAGTGGCAATCAGCTGAAATTACGAGGAACGATGGAGCACAAAAATTGTAACCTCAAAGAGTTAAAAAAAAATGAATAAAAGGAGGGGAAACAGAAATTTAAAAGGGAGGCAAAGAAAAATGAAGAAATGTTGAATTTACAAAATAAACTTACCTGCAGAAGAAGGGGATGGTGCTTTTGGTTGGTAGTTGTCCTTCCATCTGCTTTCTTCCCTGCACTCGACCCACTTTCAATGGAACAATTCCCGGCAGCTTGTTTATTCAGCTCAGCCTGTACAACAGATGTAAAAAGGATTTTAAAAGTATAAGAATCAAAATACCCTTATGGTTTGGTCCTCTTCCATATAATCTAAAAAAATGGATAAACAATAGCACCGAATAATGTAGGGATTTCATAAATTAATATATGTGTATGCGTATGTGTATATATCAATAATAACATGTATTTGGAGCGCTAGTCATTCTTGAATTTACCTTAACTGATGTAGCCAACACCGGAGCAAGGTGATTTTGTTTGTTAACCTTAAAACCATCATTTACCTCCCTATCCAATAAAGACAAACAATATAAACTTTCCAAACACAACTATAGTGAACTTATACAGATCAAACAAGCAACATTAGATTTTCTGGAAAAGGGACCTGTCCAAGTGGATCGCCAAAGTCGGGACCCGCATAATAGGCTCCTCAATTCTGACAAGCTGGTGAGAGAATGACTGCAACTCATCTTTCTTCTCTCTAACTATCACTCTTCCAGCAATGGCCAGATCACGATCGAACCACGTGTGCCACAGGCCACCTCCATAAGGTTGTACGCCAACTTCAAGATACCCACCTTTTGTAACCTGAAAAAACAAACATACTATTCCAGATCACATTCTTTCTAACATAAGTATTAATGTAAACCATGTTACAGGTAGATTATTCACCTTTGTAATGGGCTTCAGCTTTAAGCAGGGACTGTCAGTATGGGCACCAATGATGTAAAACCCATTCCCAGCAGTGTATCTATTTTGAACAATCAATTACATTATAAGCTCAACCCATGTCAAGAAATTCATGTGATGTGTAAATTGACCATTTCATATAATTATATAAAAAATTTTAACAGCCTTTGAAATTCTCGCTCTTCTATTTCAGCAATACTACATACTGAAAAATATATGTTTTCTCACAAATACTCAAACTTTAATTCCTTGGAATTTTATTTTTTGGCTTATCATTTCAATTGCTAATATCAAGGTGATTGATTCAACAATTGCAGAATCTAACTGTACCAGAAAAGAACATAACAAATATGGACCTACAAAACCACATACATACTTTTTACCAATAGCAAAAGCAACAATTGTTGAGTGATTCCTGGTGAAGAAATATTTCTTGCCAGCTTCTAGTTTCCAGTCATCCCTCTCTGATACTTGCTCATACCCGGCACTTCTCAGTCTCTTCTTGGCTTCATCTAATTGACAGAATCAATGTCCCAAAGATTTTATTTTAATTACTGGGCATGGCATATCTCAATCCCACAAAGATTCTAACATTAACTTAGGAATAAATACTAACACACAACAAAAAGACCAACACAAGATCTCGTTTTTCCTTCTAAAACAGAAGACCAGTGTCTTCCACAACAAAACCTAGAGAGGGACTATAGAAAATTTTGCGCTGGGTGCAAAAAACGAATCTTAATAACAACTGAAAGCCAGCGCAAATCAAGAGCATATAAAAATCTTATGAGATGGGTAAAAGCAATTTGGCCACTGAATATCAAAGAGTAGGTAAAAATCTTATGAGAAGAAGATTGAAAAGGAGTCACTACCCACTGCGTGAAAAGCTGTTGGGGAGGCATTCAAGAACTCCACGAGATCATCTGCTACTGGATTTTCCATTAATCTCTTGTTTCACACAGTCCCAGAAAGATGAAATTCTTGTGGTTTTTTTTTTCCTCTTCAAGTGTCCGGGCGTTTGGGCCTAAACTGACGAGTTCAAATCATAGACATGTAGACAAATATTTCGTTTGGACATTGTCGTCTGTTTTCTCCAAATTACTACTTGCTGCCCTATTAAAAATAACTAGCGCGTAGCCCGTGCGATGTACGGGATGATATATTTTCCTGAAATGTTTAATGTGTGAAATATTAAAAATATTATAATTTATATATATGTAACAAAAATAAATGGATTGCAAAGAAGGGAAAAAAATATAAATTATTGAACACTTTCTTTGTGAAGTAAAATTTGTGAAGCTTTGATATATTTGATTATGAATAGAAAAGTATGAAATACTACCTGCGGACATAGATGAGAAGATTTACTTAGAATATATAGAATAAATATTGAGATAATGATTTACCTTTTACCTAGTATATTGCGATGAAAAATTATTCTCTGTATTTTTTTTTTCTGTGAACTCGTGAATGATGAGTTGTAATGGTGGTAGTGAATATCTTTTTATACAATTTTTTATTAACCAAAAGTGATAAGATAATTATGGATTGTATTTGGGTAGATAGTAAGTCCCATGATTTTTGCAATGGACAATCAATTGCACGTATTTTTTATTACGCAATTAAGTACTGTAAAAAATGGTTAAAATTTTTACATCAACCTTTTTAGATATATATAGATAATAATAACAAAAATTATATTTTTGTCCTTATAAACAAATTTTAACCATTTTTTACTCAAATTACTATTATTACCCGAATGTTTATTTGTTGCCCTTAAATTGAATTCAATTTTACCAAAATTCAAATCTTCACCAAACTCCTTCCTCACTTTTACCAAAATCCACATCTTTACCAATCTCTTTCTTCCTCTTCATAAAAAATTAACCCACTAATCTCCACATTATTCTTCATTAATCCACATGTCTAGTATCCAACATCATCGAAAACACTTGCAAATGAGATAAAAAATGTGTTGATTTTTTTATCATTGACTTTCACTCAGAAATGGGTCTCTTGATTTTTGAGTGTTTGAGTTAGTTTAGAAATTTAGACCATTAAACCCTATTCATATATGTTATATTAAACCAATGTGATGAGTTGATTAGGATGGTAGAATGAATAAAGTGATAATAGATGTAGGTTAGAGTTTAAATTCGTTCAGTAAACATCCCAGGTAAAAGCTAAAACATGGCCAAAATGTTTGCTTGCTAAGCTTACATAAGGAGCTTAATGTCAAGCTACATGACCCATGAAACTTCTCATTCGAAAGCCCGACTGTAAAGTGAAATGTTCAGTTTACAAGGGGCAACACCTAAGAAATATAAATACTCAAAATTGGTAGGAGGATGGTTATACGAGCTCCCTCTAGATTGGGTCTTCCAAGATCCTTATTTAGGCAACTCATATTACCGTCCTCCTCCCGATTTTTATACATTTTTCGTCGACGAAGTAGTTAGTGGTCTCCGCTTTCCCATTCGCCCTGATTTGCTCGCTCTCTCCGAGCTATTTCAATTTCTCATTAACAAACTTACACCTAACTCTATCTGCATACTCATAGGTTATACTATTCTCAGTCACTTTACGTGCACAACCTTAACCCTACTAGTATTCTATATAAGTAGTATTTCACCCGATCACTCTGAATAGAGACTTTACATAATTAATTAATTTGACGTTAGAATATTTACATTGGAGGACCTTTACAGAGCTCTACAAGTCCTTGAATCTGGTTTGTGAACAAGAAATCAGTGTGTAAGAGGATACTTGGATACAAAACATCTCAAAAAAATCCAACCATTTTTAACTCGACCACTCTTTTAACTCAACTAGTACGTACCCGTGCGATGCACGAGAGAGAGATATTAAATGAATTGTTTTCACAGGCTCTGTCCGTTTAAGTCTGAGAAGGGCTATTATCCATTTTTCACCTATTTTAATCACCGTTAAGTCTCGTTTAAGTCTGAAAAGTGTTATCATCTATTTTCTACCTCTTTTAATCACCGTTAAATCTAAAAAATTGTAATCTATTTTTCACATCTTTTAATCAGCGTTGTTTTATTAGTCAGAACATTAAACGTGAGCGTGTTAGGGCTAACTTGTAAAATAATTAATATATTATCTCACTAACACATTTATACTAATATAAAATTAATTTTATTATATATATTTATTCCTTGATATAAGATAAAATAACAATTTTACTTATTCTTATTCACTATATAATAGTTAATTATTAAACTTTGTTGCCATACAATGTCATTATTATTTATAAAGTTATACAAGTTGCACGTCTTCTTATTTTTTTTATTTTATGTAATGGAATATATTTAATGCACATTGGTATTATTTATATAAGTAATCAATTTAAAATATGTAAATAAATTCAAAATTAAATAGTGTATAAATAATGTAAAAAATATACACATATATTTTTTTAGAATTTAATTTTATATACTAATTAAACAACTTTGATTTAAGAAAAGCCATGAACTCAATCTCTTCTAATATCAATATTTTTCTAATTTGCATTGTAATGATTACTCTTATTATATATATGGATTAGAATTTTTGCGACACCAACCAAACTAAATATCACAACAACCAAATAACAATTATGAAAAAACCCATAACACAACAACTATCAATTAAATTTGGTAATAGAAAAATTACATACATATATATAAAAATATGAGGATTCTATATTTCTATTAACTGATGTATACACCACGTGTATATTTTCTTAAGGTATATTAGAATGTTCAATTTCATAGCATGATAATAATCAGTCTTAAAAAATCGAAAATCTTATTGAAATGCCATATTTTTCTGTTAAAACAAAAGTTCCCATAAAAAATAATTATATCATAGCAAATTCATTGTGTAATTGAACAAATTTCTATAATGAAGCCCGATTTTCTGTACAAAAATAAAGCAACAACTTCCACATTTTAAGGAAATCAATTAATGTTGGTCCACTTTTGCTAAGAAAATAATAAATAAATAAATTATAATTAATGGGAAGTAATTAATGATGAAAGAATTTGACTATATCTGTTTTTAAAAATCGTAACAAAAAAATAAATACTAAATAAAACTATATAATATGGAAATAGTAATGACAATAAATGCTGTTGACTTTTCTAGCTACTAAATTTGGTAAATAAGACTCTCTTTAATATAAGTATAGATAGATTTTAATCCAACCCCACTATGATCAATATTATCAATAATTAAATAATATTAATCAATCATTATTTACACACCACATTACCTTTAATTCATTGTTCATCCACTCACATAATTTTAACTAACTATCATTTCAAATTTTCTCTCTCCTACTTTTCCATCAAATCAACTTTAATCATTTTATTTTAAATGTTATTTTAATATACACATTAACAACTAATCATACCACATTTTTTAAAATTAACCAAATCAAACTAAAAAATTCAAACAAAACAATTTTTTTAATATAAAAATGGCTTAGAGCATAAATTTTTATATATAGAACATAAATTCTTATATAAAACCGTCTAACCGATCGACCCGTTACACACTATAAGAAAAGAATATATATATATTTTGTATCAATCATTATACTTCTATCTATTATATTATTTTAGAAAGTGCTATGTTTTAGTCTTTTAGACCATAGAGCTCTTATATTTGCGTCGTCAGGCACTCTTTTTGCATAAATTGCAATTTCGCCCACGACCAAACAACGACGACTTGGGAGCTAAAGGAATCTCCTTGATATTACAAGCAACGAACTGTGAGAGAAAGAAAATCTCCGCGAAAGGTACGATCTTTGAGGAAATATGTGATACAGATGTATGGTATCTTTGTCTCTATTATATACTTGAGTTTGCGTGTGCCAGATTTGTTGATGTGTTTTTTTTTTTTTTTNGATGTGAGGATTTTCTCGGGTTTGTTGCTTTTCTCGTGCTTTATTTAATTCATGAAGTATAATTTTGAGGAAATTGCTTGTTTATCTAGCCCGTCAAGACTGCGTGCAGTATGATTACCTTTTCATGGGTTTTTGCAAATGATTAATTGTTTCAGTGATTGTTCTCAAGGAATTGAAATTCAGTGTTCGAAGTGTGCAACGTTATTGTTAATTTTTGTATTTGCTTGATTTGGATGCATATTGATTGATTCTGTGGATTATTCTTCCCTCAATTTATTGGATTGATTAATCGTGGGTTTCATTAGGATTTAGGAATTTCTTATAAGATGTGCTTATTCGTAAACTTGCGTATTATTAGCAAGTTGGTTTAGCTTTTTAACTATGGGCTAATTTAACTTAGCAGCTTTTGTATAGTATTCAGAGGTTCAGGGTGTTTCTTCAATTTTTTAGGAATATTAGATTTAGTCTCTTACTGGTAATTGTTCTTCTCATAACTAATTCAGATGCATTATCATGTAATTTGAGTGTGTACAAGAAGGAATCTTACATTCAGACACAATATTTTTGTTAATACATATCGACTTTTTCTTGTTCCGTGTTTTGGCACATTGGTTTTCTAAATTTCTGATGGTTTTAACTTCTGTCAAATTTGTTGTGTCAGCAGAGCTGACTGGTGGGATTTTTATTGTAACATATTCACTCTTAATTGTTTGCCTCATGTGTGTCATTTGGATGCCTTGAGCCGCATATATGCCAATGTTGTCTCTTGTTATCTCTCTTTGGTTTCCCTTTATAATATTGTACCCAGTTTCATTTTCTGAACAGCTTCTTTTCTGTGTTTTATCGCGTGAACTCTTCGATATATACATTTCTTGTACCATTTTCTTGATTAGTACAACATATTTATAAGTTCAAAATTTATCTCAAACTTGTTGACATTGATAGATTCGACATCCTTTAATATGACCATGGAAACTCATTGGCAGTTGTTTTTAGGTTATTGTTGCAATATAGATGATCGATGCTGATATCACAGGCTGTCTTGTATTCATATGCAGGTCTGCCAATTGACTCATCAATGGCTTCTTCCTTCAAAGCATTTTTGAACAGCCCTGTTGGACCCAAGACTACTCATTTTTGGGGCCCTGTAGCTAACTGGGGATTTGTCATTGCTGTATGCCTCTCTACCCTGAACAGTAAAAGTACTCAGAATAAGTTAATTTTGAAACTTTTATCTAAATTACAACGAACTGGTTTTATAGGGACTGGTGGACATGAAGAAACCACCAGAAATGATATCTGGCAACATGACTGCAGGTCTAAAGTCGAATTTTGGAGCAGATTATTTCCTTGTTATTTAAATAGTCCCTTTTAACATTTTTTTTTTTAAATAATGAATGCAGCAATGTGTGTATATTCTGGGTTATTCATGAGGTTTGCATGGATGGTTCAGCCTCGCAACTATTTGCTGCTTGCTTGTCATGCTTCGAACGAGACAGTGCAACTCTATCAACTCTCGCGCTGGGCCAAGGGCCAAGGGTGAGTTTGACAACTTATAGGTCTATCGAGTTTCTTTTTCTTCTTTTATAATCGAATAATTTGGACGTATTTATAAGGCCCTTTCTGCGCTTGTGGTGTGTCCCGTAACACAAATTCTTTACTTTTCAGTAATATTTATTAGGAAATTATAAGATGGGTTAAAAGGAGGACCAGCTAAATTTTGCTCGTATTAGTTTCATTCAAGGATGTTATAACTGAAAATACCTTAATGTGCCATCCCAATTAGCTGACTCTCGTTTTCACACTTATTTTCCAAATTAGCACCGTTATTGGATTTTCGAATCAATACAAGTGAGGAAAAGGACCAGTTTAAATTTTCTCTTATTAGTTTCATTCAAGCTCTTTGTCAGGGATACCGGATACCCTGTAGTATTTTTGCTTCAAAATTCTGTGTGTAATA